GTCAGTAATATGCTTCGATGTAGAGTTAAGAGCCCGTTGCAACCTGGTGTCAAACTGTTGAAGCAGCGCTGAATGAAATTGGCGGAGACTGGTATCATCAGGGACCCAGTCGTCTTCTGGGTCGCTGCTGGAGGCAGAGGGCACTCGTGAAGGAGCTGCAGGGGAAGAGGTATCGGGAGCCATCTGCAGCTGGGGCCTGAGCCAGGACTTATGCGATGGGTTTCCCCTTGGATTTTTTATTACCTCAAATGTGGCATAGTAGGCAGCGGGGTGAGTCGCAGACGAGCCCAAGAGATCCGGTCACTTGAGGAGTGTATTGCTCCTTACTTGCAGGTAAAATGCCTAAGGGAGAAGCAGAGCTGTCTCAAGGTGCGTCCGCCATCGGCAGCCCTGCACATGTGCCCCAATGGTGGCTACTATCTGATCGTATGCCCCATGTAAGTCTATAGGCAGCCATGGGTAAACGGACAGGTGTCTATTTACACCTGGTTAGCCCCCTACTCGGAAATTAATTTCGCCGGACCGGGTTGTGCTGCAGCGGGGATAATCTGATGTAAACAGATACATCCGTTTACATCCGATTCCCCATAGACAAACACAGTGACCGGTAATTGCAAAGTGTACTGACATGGATGTCACAGCGGTGACATCTGCTCAGTACTGCTGTGATCAGGAAAGGATTTGTGCACAGATCCTCTAATGATCAGCATGTGTGAAGGGGTGCTTACCAGGTGAAATCAGCTTTCTTAAATCTAACTGGGCTCTCCCTTGGTGTAGACACAGTGCTGTGAGAGCAGCTGGTGCTTAACGTGTCCAGAGCAAACTGTCGGGGTTGTGCGTTCTGACGTCGTAACCCGGGATGAAGAGCTGCCTAATGTACCGGCATCATTTTGTCTGCTTGGCGGTCTGGCAGTGACAAAAAAATCCATTTGTTTCCTCTGGCCCTCTTTGTTTTTACACCTGCCCATCAGTGCAGGAAAGCGGCACGAAGAAATGGAGCAGGTAAGCATCAGGTAAAAAGAATAAATTAGATTGTAAGCCCTCAGGGGCAGGGCCCTCCTTACCACCTCAAACTGGCCTGCCCTTCCAAGAAGCTGGGACCCAGGTACATCGGGCCCTTTCCGGTGGAACGCCAAATTAACCCTGCCTCCTACCGCCTGACCCTTCCGGCAGCCTACCGGATGCACCCCGTCTTCCACACCTCTCTATTGAAGCCGGTCACCTCGGACGCCTTCCCGGACCACTCCACCGACACTCCGGGTCCCGTGCTGGTGGACGGCGAAGAGGAATACGAGGTGGAGGCGATCTTGGACTTCCGGTGGTGCGGGCCAGTATCTCATCAAGTGGAAGGGCTACGGCCCGGAGGAAAACTCCTGGGAGCCTGCGTCGGCCATCCACGCCCCGCGGCTCATC